TTAAAATATTTGGATTCTTTTGTAGTCTTAAATATATAAATATACTAATTTATTTTTTACAGTGGAATACTAAATATATACTCACGTGTACTTGATTATATATGGATTTTACAAGTTTGAATACTACACCTATTTTAAATATAAATATAAGTTATTAAACTATATTATATTTAGTATATTAATAGTAAATTGTTAGTGGATTTGATATGTTTGAATACTATATTTTTTTTTTTTGGAAAATTGGCCACGAAATGTTTGGCGGTGCAAAAGTTGACTTCATTTTAAAAAGTTTTTTTCTACAATAAATAATTATTCTATTATTTAAATTTGAAGTGATCTAGATAATCAGATCGGAATAAAATAACCAATATAACAAAGTTCACGATAAAATATTTTTACAGTCTTAGTTAAAGAATAAGAAATTCCATTTTGTGCTCTCGAAATATAAGATCTTAAAGTTCAAAAAAAATATTAGTAACATCTCTATCGCCTTTAATTATGTTGTAAAACTTGGCCATGTATAAGGTTCTTTTATCATTGTGATCAGTTTCTTGCAATCCGTTTCAAAGTTCTGACATGAAGCGTATCGGAGCATACTCTCCAATATCCATCGCATTACTTCCACTTCTGAATATACTCTTCATTGCCTATTGCATTACTTTCATTTCTGAATATAAAACAATATCTTGCTGTTGTAAGTTATGTATCCCCATAAATTGAATTTTTCTCAATCTATACATCCAAACCCAACCACAACCATTGAACTATGCTTTGGAAGTTCAAGAATATATTATCCAAGTTTATGACTTGAGAATCCTCAATAGTCTATTCTTGTGGAGTTGGGGTGCAACATATGTTTTTTTTTTTTTTTTGATAATCCAGAGGTTCTCCACTTACGTAGATCATTCCTCTGGGCCCGGTCAGGCAGCGGTCCACTTCACCCGGGAGGGCTATACATGGGCTGAGGACAAGGCCCAACACCCAGTACCGCATTTAGTGACAAGAATTTGCAGTTCCCCTGCCTGACATCGAACCCGTAAGCATGACAATTGGCTCACAAGGTCTTTACCAAACTGCTACATCTTCCCGTCAACATATGTTACATGATGTGTATTATACCTTTTTATGTATATTAAAGTCATAAATGATATATTTTCGTAAAGGATATCGTTTGATTATCTGTCTCTTTTCTTTAACACTGAATAACATTATTAAACTGGAATATGGTCTGTTAAATACCTAAGCTCAAGAAAACCATCTACTTTAAGTAAAGTTTCCCTTACTTCACTGAAAAGGTTTCAGTGAGGACATCTTTTGTTTCATATTGCACACCCTTCAACAGCCCATAGCCGGGCTTGGAGATCTGCCTCTCTTTTCAAAGTAGGAGAGGAAAAAGCACAACGGCTATGTTGAAGGGTATCCAGTTCGAACCGTCACCGTGCCATATTCGTGACTAGAGAAGATTCCTTATAAATTTTCCATGACACATGAGTTTAAGTTCATTTCATCAACCTCCGGCAAAAGAACAAAGTTACGCAAACCTAGTTACTTTACAAAGGCAAAACTCAAACCAAATCTAAAAAAATAGCAATTACCTCGAGGTTCATCTATATTATTAAACTGCAGTACAAATAGATTTAACCTTATTTTCAAAAGATTTATTACATTTTTTGTTTTCGTATTTTCACTTATTTTAACTATTTTAATAATTGATTATTTTCAAATAACTTGACATCATTTATTATAAAAGTACAACCGTACTTACTTATTTTTAAGTGTTTTACTATATTTTTCACATTTTTCACTCTTTTCAACTAATTCATTAGTTGTATTTACCATAATAATTTGATGTCATTTATTTTACGTGTTACAATAATAATTTCACATGTTTGAAAGAAATTGTTCCGTTAGTATCAACCGGTTAAGAAATAATTTTTTTTTGTTTCATAATCAGTTAAACATGAGCATTCAAGAAAAGGCTCGAATACAGATTGACTTTTAGGATATCATTTTATTAATTTTGAAATAAAATTTTGTGTAGATATTATAAATTTTCGGATTCGAGTCTGATTCTCTGAGTCCAAAGGTTCTAAGAAACTAAAGATATATAAATAATATATATCTTGTTATTTAAAAATGTTATTAAACAATTTAAAATGGTGAAAACTAATTCCAGGTAGACGTACGAATCAAGATGTAGTTAACTTTTAAGTAAAAATATTGTCATTTAGTAAGAAATATGAGAGAAGCTTTTCAAAAAAGAGGAATTGACATGTTCTTAAACTCTCTGTACAACCCAACACATGCCCACGCCATGAATCTCGGCTCCTGCTCCGGTGGTCGGTGTCTCTTACCGCCACTGGGAGCAGGCCCATTTTGTTTACCATTTAGTGTCTACGGCTTTTAATCACGACATCTTGAACGATTTTGAGGTGTATAGCCTCAGATATTGGTTGAGGAAAGGAAATGATTGATATGAGGCATATTTGCATAGTTATAGCATTTCATTTTGTACATAAATCATCATACAGATTAAGGTTTAGACATCTTTAGGTCCATATTGCATTCATATGTCCTTATTAGGTATTGGAGTGTGCCATGGAGTGAATGGAGGTGTTTGGGAGCATTGTGATCCAAAAGAGAGTTAAAGATGAACATGGATGGAGACCTTAAAGATAAATTTTTAAGCTCATATTTTGAGAAAAACATGGGAAATTGAGTTATCTTTCTAATGGAAGTGGTCTCAAGTCATTTGGAATTGTATTGAAGAAGTTATGATCTATCTACTGGAGGCATATCAACCATGTAGTGACCAGAGCTGTAGCGACCAGAGCATGTCGCTAGGAAGAGAGCCGAGAGTCTGTAGCGACCACTGTAGTGACTAGAGCATGTCGCTACGAGAAAATCCCCAGAAAATTCTATGTGCTGTAGCGACCAGAGCATGTCGCTATAGACGAAAAGACCCAACTTTTATGCTCGTTTTTAGGTATCTATAAATACATTGGAGACCTAAGTTTAGAACTTATCTTCTTTTCTCTCAAAAACACATTGAAAAGTTAAATTCTTGATTAATATAACATTTGTTTCTTGAGTAATTTGAGTCTATCTCTTCTTTTAATCATGATTAGTTTTCTATCCATCATGGGTTTAAGATTAAACATGAAGATTAGTGAGTAGACTCTCTTTGAGCTTATGGGTTAGGGCTATTAAGTGATGATCTAGGGTGATTAGTGTTAGATCCTTCTTTTCATATGCTTATTACTTATTCCCAATGCTAGATTAGACCTAATCCTTCTAAAATAGATCATTAGGCATTTCCAGCCCACAAGGTGTATGATGAAATGCTTGAACCAAAGTAATAATGCTTTTTGCTTGCTTAACCAAGGATACTTCATGTTAGGAAGGTTTAGATGGTTAGTAGACTTGTTCTCAATGATTGCTTGATTGATTTAGACCAATGACCATTTGTGTTTAGAGATTGATAGCAAATGAGCTTTTACCTTGACTAAGTACTAGCTTAGAATTGTGTCTAGACCTATAGGATATGAATGATTACTTGAAACCTCACCCTAGATAGTAACTTGATCACCCAAAGTCAATACCCTTATCCATATGCTCTTTTATCTCATTGAAACCAAAGCTTAGTTATTCTTGTTTACATATTGTTTGTTACTAGTTACTTATAAAACAAACTCTCACTGATTGCATTTAGATTAAGCAATGTATTGCATTCTTTTTGTTCAATAGCTCTCAGGATTGGAATGACACTCTACTTACCTTACTACATTGATTTGCTATAAGGCTTAAAAACCCTTATCAAGGATGCAATGGTTGTTGTGTGTGGTCCTTAAGCGTCTCAACTTGGACAGAGAATTGATCTGTAAAGGTTGCGGTGGTCGTGAGCTTGGCTGTCGGGTTACGGAACCTTTGAAGGCTGGTTCTTGGTAATCTCATACGGCCGTAAGTTTCTCCCATCTCTGGCTGTACCCTCTATGTTTAGTGCCTGGTGATGCTTTAGTACTTAGTCATTTGTAGGTGTTGGTAGTTGCTTTTGTGAATCTAAGGCGTTGATGTGTTGGTAGTTGATTTTGTGAATCTAAGGCGTTGATTTCTTGGGGTCTTGCGGAGAAGAGGCTAGATTTTGTCCTAATTATCTGGCCTTGTTTGGGTCTTTCGCTAAGTTCGTACCTTTTTGTGGTGTGCGGTGAAAGACTATAAGCTGGCTCTGATGTAGGTTGCTAATTCTTCCAATGAATTTGGTGAAGCTATTCTCAGATGGGTCATCAATGATACTTCATATTTGGCCTTCTTCTCATTACCTCCGTTGTAGTGTTTGTTGAGGGTTACCTCAGCTATGTCTTGTCTTGTTATGGCTAGCCTTGTGTCTTAGCTCTGGAATGTGAGTTAGATTTCTTTGAGCTACTGGATTTTCTTGGTCAGGAGGCACTAATGGTTAATGGCGTCGGCGTTTCTTAAGAATTACCTTGCATTGCTTTCAGTATTGTCTCGCGTTCGACTTGTGCTTTCAATGCTAAATGGTTCAGTGTGAAGTTACGATGAGGCAAAGTGGTGCTGTCTCTTGGTTTTAAACCGACGGGCTTTTCCGGATTTCTTAGTAAGAGACTGGAGCTTCAGCTCAATCGCGTTCGGTCCATGAGTAGTTGTATGTCAACTGTTTCCTTCATCGGCTGCTCGGGTTGGAGTTCCGTTATGTCGTAATTCCATCAGTTGAAGCTTGTTATTGAGTATCGGTATCTCATGGTTCCTCTTTCGAAATCGTTTTGGAGCTTTCTCTAACCTAAAATAATTCGACCTTCAACGCGCTTATTCTAGCTTCGATTATTGCATTGCTTCACTTGCTTATTGGTCAATTGTGTCTCTAGATCTCAGGGATCGTTTACTTCTTTTTATGTTATGTAGTCCCGATGTGTTTTTCTAAATTTTTGCACTGGTGTTGTTTACCTTGCCGGCTTATAATTCCGAAATGGTGTTTCACTATTGTCGGCTATGTGCACTTCAAAGTTTAAATGAATGAAAATCCATCGGATGGCAAAAGAAAGAGAGGAATTCCAATACACTACAAACAAGACATGACAATAAAAATACAACAAGAAAAGGAAAGCAATCCCTGAAAATTTAATGACTGTATAACCACAAGTTTTACTTGGAGGTCCCTAAGTTTCATTCAAGGAGATTCACCACGATACATAGTGGCAAAATCCAAACATAAACGCTGGTCCCTTTTGTCGCCCCAACCTCCCCAACCTTTAAAACCAGCTTTATAACCAGGTTGATGTTCAAACACTCGAACTCCCCATTCTTTATTTATGTTCACAACTTTATCCGTTTCCTTAACCTCAATGTTTACAATCCCATTATCGATACAATCACCTTCCTCTCCTCTACCTTGATGCAACCCACATTTTCCAAAGTGAACCGCACTCGTCCTAGGCCCTCTCAACGTGTAAACAGGTGAACCAAACGAAGGGAAAACCGTCGCCCACATTGTTATATCCCAATTATAATCATCAAAGAAACAAAACTCTTTTGCCTTGTGGTGTATTCTCTCCCACACACTTCTGTTAAAAGAGTACCCAACGTTTCCCATTCTCTCCGCAACCAAACTATCAAACCCTTCTCCTCTCGACTTCACATCAGACGGCGCTAAGTTAGCAGCAAAGCAGTCAGGACATTTCTCCTGTTTCAGCCTCGTGAGAGTCTGTATACTCCGATAAGCATTAGGAAAAATAAAATGATCTTCTTCAATGAAAAGCACGTGACCGTCGTGATCTTTAGTCTCCACCAACCCATCCCACACAGTGTTCATCATCCACCACCAGTGATGCTTCAGAGATACAATCTTCGGAGAGCGGTGATTCCCGTACTGATCCGGATTGCCTTCACAATGCGTCTTGGCCTCATCACCTTTGTTCTTGCAGTCGTTGGCCGACACACCGGGGAAACTACCTTGGAATATGTGAGGAGAATAAGGCGAGAATATCTGCTTCACCTGACAAAACTTAATACTCTCAACAATCTTGTTCATCTCTTCAAAGTAACCATCATGGCTAACAATCAGCAACGTCTCGCTTATTCCTTCGACTTTGGACAAGCTTTCCACAGTTACTCGAAGATACTGAGACCGATTGTGCACGTATAAGACGATAACCACATGGTCTTTCGCCAGATTCGGGTACAGATCCAGATTTCTCGGCGGAGATTTGTTCCTTGTATGCAACCTAACCGACATTTCGTTACCTCTGGCGACACTTAGGAGTGAAACATTTTCCAAATGTTTGTCTAAATTATTCAAATCATTGTCGGAGAAACTCTTATTTAAAGCTGTTCTGGGTACAGACGCCAACATGAGAACTATAGAGACTGTAACTGCAAATAAAATCCCTAAACGGCATAAAGCAGAATCTTTTAATCTCTGATTCTTCCAAGGATTTGCCATAGGCACAAACTAGTAAACTAAAGGACAGACCCCAAACTCTTAAACAGCCTAAACAATTAAACAACCAATCACTACTTGAGGGAGTAAAACCCCTTAAAACAAAGAAATAACCTCTGGGAAAAAGTTGCTTCCTTTCTAAGTCTGCAAATCCGTATTATGTTTGGAAATTGATGGAAGTGATCAAACGGTTAAAAAGAAATCGAAAGACTCCAGCTTTGAAGCAGTTTCTCAGAAGAAATCACGACATGGGTGAAACAAGAGATTTCATCAGGAAATGAGGAAGAAGGAAAGGAAAAGAGACTTTTGGAGTCGCTGAAGAAAAATCTATGAGAAAGAAGTGCCGAGTCTTACGTGACTTTGGGTTTCGCATTTCATTGTCACCTATCGATTGGTCACCATCCAATTCTGACTGCTGTCTGTGCCTGTGTGTCTTTTTGTTTCCGGAAGCTATAAAAATGAAATAAGATAATTTATCAAATAAGCAAAGCATTATGGATCACGCTTTTTTAATAACTTATTTGCTTAAACTACAATCAACATTTTTGTGCGAATAATTCGTTAGGATGTACCATCATCCGCTATGACGTATTGCATTTACCACATTGATTAGGAAGATGCTTCTCTTTAAAGATTACTAACTAACAGTACACTGATTCCTCATCAGTATCATTTGATCATGCGATTGCGTCTCATGATGTTTGAATCAAACCAAATTTTCACTTATGCTTTGAAAACATAAGATTATTTTCTTCAGATAAAATTATTCTTTGATATTTAATTATTTTAGATAAAAAATAGTTGTAGATGTAACAGTTCAAACTATTGCCCATTCTATTTTATTTTTGATAATATATTAGATATTTTTTATTATTTTTAAAATGTTATGATGAAGTATCTATATATAAATATATATATATATATATATATATATATATATATATATATATATATATATATATATATATCTTATATATTAAAACAAAAATCATGATCATGATCATGATTCATGTGTGATTTTTAAAAAATTGACCAACTTTTACTATATGTATTTCATTAAATCTAATAATAAATATTTGTAACTAATTTCATCACAATATCTTTTGATATCTTTTTATTTGAAATCAATATATATATATATATATATATATTAAACTTCTAACAAATTTGTTGTAAAGATATTACAAGATCTCAGTTTTTTTAAATGTATATAAATTCGTAATTAATAATAAAATATAATTATGCATTAATGTATATTCAGTTAGCGTTTATAAAATATAATTAAAAATATATTTTTATTTATTTTCTAATCATAATATATCTTATATATTAAAATAAAATTCATAACATTGATTCATGCATGATTTTTTTTTTTTAAATGGACCATCACTAGAAATTTTTATTATATGTATTTCATTAAATCTAATAATAAAATATTTGTAATTAATTAATCACAATATCTTTTAATATCTTTTAATATATTTTCATCTGAAATCGATATATATATATATCTATATATATATTTAAACTTCTAACAAATTTGTTGTAAAGATATTACAAGATATCAGTTTTTAAAAATGTATATAAATTCGTAATTAAAAATAAAATATAATTTTGAATTAACGTATATTCAGTTACCGTTTATAAAATAAAATATATTTTTTATTTATTTTCTAACCATAATCTATCATATTAAAATAATTATTATACTGAAATAAATAAGATAAAATTATATTAAATTGATAAATTTATATATTTTATTTACAGAATATCAATATTTATGTTAAAAATATATATATGTTAGAAAAATGGGTTAACATACTAAACTATATAATACATGTATATAAATTAACATGTTTTAAATTTGTATATATACAAATGTATTATCTAAAATAAATAAATAAAAAATTTCTAAAAAGTAATCCAGAATTTTGAAGTGTGGATAAGAATAATAAATTAAATATATATTAATTTTAAATATGTTGTTTCATGCATATATTCATTCGTTTAATAATTAAATGCAAATCCAGTTAGATTAGTGTGTAGCAAGAAGCAACAAATACATGCATGTGATGGTTTAAGACAATTGATTAATTATGACATGTAAACTATAGCATTATTGTATTTGAAATCTTTATATATAAACATTTAAAGTTATGATTAAATTAAAGATATATACAAAATGATGTAAAATAAATAATTAAGTATATATATACCATCTCCGTTTCAATTTACATGTCGTTGTGGAGAAAAGAATTCGTTTTAAAATAAGTGTCATTTTATAATTTCGATGCAGAATTTATTAACTTTATATGTTTTTATATTCGTTGAAATGTGGTTAAGTATATAAGTAATATTTTGTTTTGAAAATATGGAAAATTAAATATTTTCTTAATCTGAGTGCAGAAACCTAAAACGACAACCAAAATGAAATGAAGAGAGTATAAATGAAATCAAGCACCCGCGCAATAGTATACTCGCTCCGTTTCACTTTATTTGTCATTCTAAGCTTTTGCACACAGATTAAGAAAATATTTAATTTTACATATTTTGAAGATAAAAACACAATTACCTATACACCTACCCACTTTTCAACCAATAGAAAATAGAATATTATATAAAACTAATAAATTTTGCCTCGAAACTTTAAAACGACACTTAATTTGTGACAAAAAAAATAAGACTAGAATGACATATATTTTGAAACGGAGGGAGTATTATATTAAAACAAAAGTCATAATTCATTTCATGTGTGATTTTTTAATTTGGACCATCATTAGAAAATTTATTATATTTTGATAACATCATTATAATATCTTTCATATATATTTTTAATTTTTATTTGAAATACAAAAAAATTATAAAAATTCTAACAGTATTTTTTAAAAATCTGTGGGATCTTTTAAATATATTTTTGAATTAGTTAATTAAAATTTTAATTATCAGAAAATATAATTTAAACAATTATTTATTTTTGATTTATAACACAAATTAAAAATTATATAAAACAATTTTAACATTATTCTAAAATTTTTGCTTCTTTATAATGTTCTTCCAATTTAATTTAAATTTCACATGTATTTCAAATTTAGAATAAAATAGTTATTACTGTTACATAATAATTTTTTTTTAAATACAAAATTTGAAATTTTAAAATAATAATATTATAAGCCACACAAATATTATTATAAATTTTATAATATATACTATCAAACTATATTAATATAATGATAATATTTATTGTATAACATAAAATATTTTAGTATTCAAAAAAATCTGCACAGTTGTGCGGGTCAAAATCTAGTGCTACTTAATTTATTTTAGTTTAAATAAATAAAATTTCATAAAAATATTATAAATTATTTCAAAATTTAATCTGAACTAATATTAAATAATGATATTAATTACAAATTTAATAAATTATGTAAACAATAGAACCAAAGAAATTAAGTTTTTTATAGTAAAAGAAGATATGTTAATTTAAAATATTATTTAAAAACTAAAATAATCTATTATCTGATGTAGGCTTGGACAAAAAGTTTGAACCAGATTACCCAAACTGAACCTGGTTTGTTTAAGGTGGTATGAGTCAGTAGTGGATCTCCATACAAAATCGATTGGGTCTGAAATTTTATTAATGTCGGGTGTCATCGGATCGGATAAAAATGTGACGACTTGTCCAATATCCTGATTCATTAGTGGCTCGAGTTTTGAGGATAAATACTACAGAATGAGCTTGCCGTTGCGAATAAGCTCTGTATACAGTCCATTTTATGTGTGGACTAGTATTTCAACGGCACAAAAACTACTGTTACTGGTAACTAGACAAAAAGTCTATTTTGGATATGAAGTTAATGCGTGGGAGGACCTTTGGATCCCTGTCACACCGGCTAGGCCGGCTCGACCTTCTGCCCATGTCTTACACCCGAAAATGCGCGTTAGTGACTTTATTAATGGAAAGTCAAAGGAATGAGATGTTGGATTACTAGAGAATTATGGTGTCCCTGATGAAATACCTCTTATTCGAAGTTTGGCCATAAGCTCAACTCACAGCTGAGATATCAAAGTTCTGAGATATCACAGTTCTAATGATGTACTGCGATGGGCAATGGAGAGTGAACCGTTTAGAAAAAGATAATGGACAGATCTATTGTGAATGATGGCGACGGGTTCACTATTTTTATGTTGTACTGCGATGGGCAATGGAGAGTGAACCGTTTAGAAAAAGATAATGGACAGATCTATTGTGAATGATGGCGACGGGTGTACCGGCTTTAATCGTTGATGGTTCTTCATTTGATGGTGATGAATTTTTTGTTGTAAAATATGGCAACATAAAATTCTATGGAACAGTAATATTTTTTGACTATGTTATTAATAATAGAGCAATATAAAAAGTTGTCTTCTCTCGGTGGCTCAACTCAGTCTGAAACATGATTTTTTAGATTATTACGAAGATTATCTCTCTTGCGATTCAACTATTTTAGAAGCAAACATAAAACTTTTATATGAAACGTTTTAGTCATCTATACACAAATAGTTGTGGTAGTTTACTTTGATCCCTATAAGTGTATCCTTTTCCTACATTTGTTTTGTTAATTCTCATTATTTAGAACTTTTTTTCTACAAAGCTTAATCCAGCATTAAAAAACACTTGGAAAGTTATGAAGAAAAAAGGTTATGAATGATGTATGCAGCTTAGGCTAGCTACAAGGGGATAAGAAAGTTGATTTTTTTTCTTATTCTGATTATAGATAAGTAACTTCATTGCACAAAACATTTTTTTTTAATTAAGTTAGCATTCATTTAAAACAAAAATCTGGAAAAAGGTTTCAAAAAAAACTTGGAAAACCACATATATCACTTCCTTATTACAATAGTTTATTATATTATTAATTATATATATTGAATATGAGTTTTCGATCCTTATAAAATTTATATAAAATGATTAAAAATTAGCTCGTTTAAGAGAAAAAATTTCAAATATAAATCATTTTAATAAAAAAAATCAACCTAAACATAATCTATAAATAAATAAAAGTTGGAAAGAGCATATATAATTTTCCTCACAGAATCAAAATTCAGAGATGAATTTTCAAAAAAGTTGTAGTTTTATTTGTTTCTTCACTGACCTAATTTATTTATTTTGATCTAATTTTATGTAATATTTGACCTAGATAGATTTTTATAATTTATAAAAAAAAATTCTTTAATCTCTTGTTAATATTATTTTTAATTTTAGATATGACTAATTCAAAGTCAACATGTATAACTCAAGTTTTTTATATTTTAGATTACAAAATCTATTAGTTAATATTTTCGAGAACTCAACCTATTTTGGTTATTTTTACAAGAAGTTTTTAAAATGTTAAATGTTTACATTTGAGTAAGTATTATAAGTCATTTTAACAATTCAACTTCTTTTTGAAAGACAATTCGATCAATTTAATCAGAAACTCATTAAATCGTCACATTAAAAAAAATTGTTTAACAAATTATAAAGAAAAATAAATAAAATATGTGCACTCCTCATCACAATGAATAAAACATTGAAAATGAACTGATTATCTCCATTGTTCAAACGGATGAGAATGGTTTCTTTACCTTTCACCTCCATCTTTGATTCATCTCCCAAAGCCACATTGGTTTTCACCTACTCATCAAGCTCTAACATGCTTTTGTTCCCGCACATGTGATTCTTGCACCTCTATCAAGGTACCACTTGTGAACCTCATTTGTTTCATCTTTCTTGTAAGCCATCAAATAGCATATCTTCTTCTTTATTCGTTTCTTCAACATATTTTGATATTTCTTCAACTCTATTGTTGTCTGGAGCTTTGCATTCAGAAGAATAATGTCCAAAGTTTCTGCAACTATAGCATTTAATGCTTGATTTATCGTACCTTCATTTTATATTTCCTCTTCCACGAGCTCTTGATGAATTTTCTCCTCTTTGGTTGAAATTTTATTCATATGGTCTCCAACCTCGTCCATTTACACCGCGACCTCATCCTCGGAAATGACCGCCACCATGTCTTGGATTGCTTCGGGCACTTTCTTCCTTATGATCAATTCTCATCTTTAGAACTTGCTCTTCTTCTTCTTCTTCTCTTCATAAGCTTGTAATGATTCAAGAAGTTTCTCCATCGTCATAGTCTCCAAGTATTTTGTCTCTTCAAGCATGATAACAATGTGCTCAAATTTTGAATCCAATGATCTAAGAACTTTCTCCAGGATTCTCACCATTTCTCTTTAGGTTATTAGTAACCGTCAAAACTCTTGAGAAGTAATCTGAGATGATTTCTCCTTCCTTCATTTGTAACGCTTCAAATTCTCTTCTTAGGGTTTGAAGACGTACCTTCTTAACTTGTTCCGCTCCCTTGTAAGAGGTCTGAAGCTTATCTCATGCTTCTTTGGACGTCTCTGCTTCAGCAACCTTCTCAAATGTATCTTCATCTAATTCTTGATAGATTAGACGGAGAGCCTTCTTGCCTCTCTTCCTTGAATCTCTCAAACCAACCTTTTGAATTTGAGATAAACCCTCACACACATCATGTGCTCCTAAGATAGCCATCATTGTAAGACTCCAATTGTCATAGTTGCTCTTTGTGAGTAATGGAACTTGCAAGAGAACACCACTATTTGACATTCTTAGCTCTGCTACCATTTTTTTAGAATGAAAAATTTATTGAGATGAGAAGTGTTTGAAGAGAAAATGTTTTGTATGAATAAGAAAACTTTAGTTTACTTAAGAGGAACTTTTATTATTTGGATAATTCTTACAAACTTAGTTGATATTTTGTTGATTCAAAATGAGAAGATAGTGGATGTATTTATAGTCTTCATAGTATAAAATATCTCAAATATTTTGATCATAAATCTAGATAATTCTAGCATAATATCTGGTTTATGGTCTTCTCAAGTTCTGGTTTCTGGGTTCAGCACGTGCTTTTCCAAAGTCTTCAGAATGAACCTTTGTCCGCCCTCACACTGGAGTTTGATTAGCTCCTTTTGTCCTAAGCGTTTCAAGTACAACCCCTTTAGTTATGTTGGTTTTAGGACTTTGAACTTATCTTCCAGTCTTATGTTTAATCATGTGTTTCTTGATGTTTATGGGATGTTCGACTATGAACTCGCCGACTTATGACTCTGAAAAGGTTGTATATCTTTGTCGGCTCTGTGTAATGTTTTGTTCGATATAATATAAATCTACCATATGACAAAAAAAATATGTAGATTATTTTATTTTAATTATCTGGATAATTCTATAAGTATATCTATATTATTTTTAAGGAGGTGAAAGATAATTCTAGAATTTAGGTTAAGTTTGGGCTAAACCTGATTAATAAAATACTAGCCCAACCATATGACCCAAATCAAGTTTACATTTCAACAAAAGTAACATGAGGTATGATTTCGTTAGAAAACAATACAAAGTACAGACATAACTCAGAAGCATAGTTTTTTGGTTTCGTTAGTTGCTCTAAAGTCTAAACCGCTGCCTCACCAGATATAGGTTAAGGCAATGGGGTCTCCAATCAGATGCAAGTTGTCTCCTGTGTGGTGATAACGATGAGAGCCGCAACCATCTATACTTCAACTGCAACTGCTCGTCGGAAATCTGCTCCTCAATAGCTTCACGGTTTGAATTTCTACCTCAGGGATCATGGCATGAAAGTATTAACCAGATGCAAGCAATAACACGAAACAGCTTCAGAAGAAAACTCTTACGTTGACATGGCAGGTGGTGATCTAATTGGTTTAGTTTGAACGAAACTCCCGTCTTCATCGTAACTTCTCCTTAGTCATCTTTTTGATTGATAGAAAGATAAGAACCGGATTTATAGCTTCCGCGAACAGAATCCGTCAAATTCATCAACTCTTCTTTGGTATTGGCTTCTTGCATGTGTCAGATCAGATCGAGCTGTACAAATAACAAACTGATCGACTAATTGCCTCTTCAACTTATCATTTTAGGCTTAACTTTCTGGATTACAGTTTTTCTTCATTTGGGTTTTTACTGGGTGTTGCCCTAAAACCTGAACCTATTATGCGCTCCATCTATTTTTTTTTCTTCTACAGACCAAAATACAACCCCACATCTTTCTTCTCTTGATTCAACTTCATGAAAACTTCCAGATCAGGGTTTTTTAAATGTAATTACGATGCAGCATATGATTTAAATACAAAACAAGTACGTGGTGCATGGATTATTCGGAACAATTATGGACATCCTTATATGTGGGGCTCAGCAGTTTTGGGCCTCGCTCATTCCAGTTTAGCTGCTGAGGCAAAAGCTCTACTTGCGGCCATGTAGAATGTTTGGATCGGAGGATATAGCAATATGATTTTCGAAGGAGATTCAGAAACCTTGGTCAACACAATCAATGCTCTAGTAACTGAGACAATGATACAAAACATCTCCGACGAAATAACTAGCTGGAGGAATAAGTGTTCCACAACAACATTCACTCTTGTCAGACGTACTGGAAACCAAGCCGCCCATATCATCGCTCAACAAGGACCCCTTAATTCTATGTTTAATTAAAAATTGTAAAGTTTATCCACCAAGATGTTTAACTCCAACTTTGTATTCAGATATTATGTTTTCATATTAATAAAAATTAAGTTTGTCGGAAAAAAATCTATTTTTCTGCATTTAATTAATGAAAGCCTTTTCAGAAAGAAAACAAAAAAGAACAGAAACAGTTTGGTAGGAAATGGATGCAGAGTACATACAGATAATGGCATTGTCGTGTACTAAGCAACCTTTAGATGGACACTGAAATGTCACTTTGCGAACATATCACACCATCACGTTGCAGAGTTTCTCAATTTTACATGCAATTGTTAGTTGTTTATTGTACTTTCCATTGAGACAGTCATAAATTATGAGTCCCGGTTTCCTATACCATTCCAAGAAAATCAAGGTATAGTTAAAGAGCGCTTAAGGAAGGATAAGCATGCAAATGCAATAGAACTCAACTTTAAAGTGTTAGGTTATATTTAAAATTTTACCAAAAAAGAAATGCTAGGTGTATAAGTATGTTAAAATTTTGCTAAAGAGGGGCATGGGTCCAACAAGACATGCATGCATAGTTTGAAGTTTCCCCAACCATATTCAACACGTATAAGTAACTTATAAAAAATCACTGTGTCAGGAAAACAATGATGGTTTAATAAATATTTGCTCTTTTAATAAGAGAAAGTATTACACTCACAGGTTTGTTTTAGAACAACACTTAGGTTACTCCTAAAGTGAATGCTTAAATTCATTTCACTCTCTATAACCAAAGTAAAGTACCATATAGGATCAGTTAAAAAACAATAAAATTGAAAAAAAAATAGTTGGCAAAAACGACACCAACAAAAATTTCATCTACAAGACTCTGAACTCTAAAAACTTAAAACTTTTAAACCATGCATAAACCCTAAACCCAAACCTCTAAACCATAAATTCTAAAATCTAAATCCCAAAAACTAAACCCTAAACCTAAATCCAAAACTCTAAACCCTAAACCTAAATCCAAAACTCTAAACCCTAAATCCTGAAATCTAAACCCTAAATCATAAATTTTAATCCAAAACTCTAAAAGATAAACCCTAAATCCTAAAATCTAAACCATAAACTCTAAACAGTAAATTCTAAACTATAAAATTAACAATCAGTCCTAAAACCTAAAATCTAAATCTTAAATTATAAACCTTAAACCCAAAACTCTAAACATAAACCCAAACCCTAAACAAGTGATGTATTTAGGGTTTAGAGTTTAGGGTTTATGATTGATTGTTAGTTTTTAGTTTAATGTTTAGGATTTAGGGTTTAGATTTAGAATTTAGGATTTATGGTATAGAGTCTTGGATTTAGGATTTATGATTTAGGGTTTAGATTTAAGGATCTGGAGTTTATGGTTTAGAGTTTTGGGTTAGGGTTTGGATTTTAGGATTTAGGTTTGATTGTTAATTTTATAGTTTAGAGTTTAATGTTTAGGATTTAGATTTTAGGATTTATAGTTTAGTGTTTGGGTTTACGATTTATGGTTTTAGGGTTTATTTATCAGGATTTAGGGTTTATGGTTTAGAGTTTTGGGTTTTGGGTTTTGGTCTTTAGGGTTTAGTTTTTTAGCATTTAGGGTTTATGGTTTAGAATTTTGGGTTTACGTTTTATGTTTTAGGTTTTAGATTTTAGGGTTTAGTCTTTAGGGATCATTTCTTAGGATTTAGGGTTTATCATTTAGAATTTTGGGTTTAGATTTTATGGTTTATGGTTTTAGATTTTAGGTTTTTAGAGTTTTTGAGATGTTTCTGGCCGTGTTTTTTTTTCATTTTATTGCCTTTTTAACTGATTTTGCATGGTAATTTGGTTGGTTATAAAGAGTGAGATGAATTTAAACATTCATTTTAGGGGTGTTGGGGGTGATTGATTGAACTGTAACTGTTGAAATTATACTGTAGAATTTAGTGTATAGAATTTTTGGATGTATATGTATCTAATGTAGCTATAGGAATGGAATGAGAAAGTAGAAAAAGAAAGATATTCCTACATCTATCCTTTTTTTTATTTTTTTTTACTTTAGCTTTAAAAAATACTTAAAGCATGATTGGTGATTTATATGATTGTAGATAGAAAATAATAAAATCCTACCAATCACCCCTGTTATTCTTTGTTTTATCCATAAAGGGTCTGCAGAGATAAATTTGATTCGATTCTCTTTTTAAAAAAAACTAGATCATGATCCGCGCACCCACGCGAGTTTTACTTTCGGATGTATTCTATATAATTTAGTTTTATAGGGTTTCGAGTTTGTCCAATTCGATTTTCTGTTTAAAGACAATATCAAACCGTCTTTTGTATTAATAGAGTCAAACAGTGTATTATTTAAATGTAATTGTACAGTGAAAACACTAATTTTGTACGTTTATTTGAAGTGCAAAATCAAATTCAAACTTAACTGTTTGCGTTAAAAAAAAAATATTGAGAGTTTAGTTACTTCTCATGTTAATAATTATCCAAAATTTTAAAATAATATACAAATTTCTAGATTTTTTTGCCTTAAACTTTATTTTATAGGTTATATCAAATTAAAACTTAACTTTAGTCTTAACTTTGCTAGCGTGAAATATTTTATGATGAAAAAATTAATAAATAACTTAACAAATATTTTGGTAATCTGAAGAATTTTGTATTTAATATTTTTGCATTTAAATCAGTATTTTTAAATTCAACCTGAACCGTTGTTAAACTGCTGATCCAATAATTGATTGTTGATTTTTTAAAATATATATATTTAAAAAATCACTAAACTCGAGACCAACCGATTGAACCGATGGATAATCGATATGCAATATTAAAACCTGTAAAAATAAATTTATTTTCGTTGTTTTATGTATTATTAAAAATTTTAATCTAAATAATTTGAAAGAAAACCGTGAGAAATTAAAAAGGGTGAGATCTAATATTTTGTATTGTTTGGACATAAGATTAATTATATTGTTGGTTGGAAACATGGATAGTAGTATAAAGAAATGAGTATATTGTTTGGAATTATGGATAGTAGTATAAAAAAATAAATATATTGTTTGGAAACATGGATAGTAGTATAAAGAAATGAATATCTATACCATTAAAAGTGAAGGCACCCTTGAAAAACCGACTGATGGAAGTTGTCTGCACCCTAATTAATGGCATTTTGGTAATTTATTTTTGGGCTTACATCTATATATATATATATATATACCGATTTGTTACAAATCATATCACATATTACATATACCCGAATTATTTTCTCTTTTTCCATTAATTACTCTAACCATATTACATTCTATATTTCATACATTTATATTGTGTTACACACCTTATATTACACGATTTCAATCTATAGATTTCTGACGTTATAATTTTTTGGTTAAAACATTTTTGGTATATGCATCATATATCGAATTTATGATGCTATATTTCATATATTAATATTTTCATATAGTTGTACTACACCTCATTATTCAAAGACTATACTTTATAAACCCATATTACTCTAACCATGATATGGTGCTATATTTCATATATTAAGATTTTTATATAGTTGTACTACATCTTATATTTAAAACACTATATGATGTAAACACATACTACACTGGCCTATACTTTGTAACCATTGTAGTTGATTGTAGGCCTTATATTACACGATTTCGATATATTGATTTCCAACATTATAATATTTTGGTTGACATTTTTTGGTGTATGCATCATATATCGATGATATGATGCTATATTTCATATATTAATATTTTCATATAGTTATACTATACCTTTTATTTCAAAAACTATACTTTATAAACCCATATTACTCTAATCATGATATGATGCTATGTTTCATATATTAAGATTTTCATATAGTTGTACTGCATCTTATATTTCAAAGACTATATGATATAAACTCATATTACACTTTATATTACATATATTAAGATTTTGTTATTGTTGTAGACATTTGTTAAGGTTTATATAATATATTGTCTATATCGACATTTTCATGAGGTTTGCATACTATATCATTTATTTCATACCTCAGAACCATATCAAATATAAGGAAAATGGAAAATCCATTCAAATGTCATTCATTTCATGTTTTTCTCCATTTTAAGACAATTTAGAATGGAGAATCCATCCAAATGTCCTTCATTTTATGTCTTTTCTTCATATGTCGATATATCATCATTCTCATGGTGGCATTAAATG